GTGTGTGTGTGTGTGTGTGTATTCATACATATGGGGCATATATGTATATATATGGTTCATATTTGGGGTATGCAGTTAATCACATTGATTGCTTATATTTGGACACTGTCTCATGTCATAGGTTCTAACTTTTTCCAAGTTAAATTCAGAAAGCAATGTTAAAAAAAAAAAATAAAGAAAAGCAAAACATAAGAATCTGAGATTGCCAGCATGATCTGTGGATACCATGGCCTATAAAATATACACTGCTCTGTGTTTAAACAGATCTATGTGACACAGCTTTTATTTAGATCTTCTGCTCAATGTTCTGCCATCGGCCTTAGCCAAATATGGGATATTATAGGTATCCTGGCCTCCCAAACAGATATGGAGAAACTGGCTTCAAGACAAGTAACTTTGCCATATGGAAAACACATCCCTGGAGAATGTTGCTATAAAGAAAGATATTCTTGTGCTTATGTTCTTTGGATCATTCCCTTCCTATTCTTATATTTATTATGCAGGAGCACAAATAGAATAATGGTAGTTAATATATAGTTTTGGAACAAAACAATCCAGATTTGAATTCTGATTTCTCCTTATTAGCTATTTAAGCTTTGAACCATTTGACTACACATCCATCCATCTAAAGATTTAATAAACATGCCACTCTGTAGTATTCTTAGCTTCAGGCTGCTAATGACAGAAAAATGAAGTAAGGAGATTGCCCTTTTGGAATAATTAAATGAAAGAGATATACAACCAAAGCATCACCTCAAAATATTATTATAAATTGTTAAAAATATTCTGATGAACTTATGTTGTGGCAGGACTTCTCTAAGGTTCAGTTTTCTTATCTTTAAAATAGTGACATGGTTACCTCACAGGTTGTGTTGAAGACTAAACAAAGTAACACTTGAAACACATTTTCTATATGACAGATGTTAAGTGTTAAGTGATAACAATTGTTATTGCAGTCCTAGCAGTCAAAACAACCTTTAAGAATAACTCTTAGTAGTTCTAGTATTTATTCTAATCCTCCTTTCCATTTTCACTGCCCTGCCCATATTTAGGCCCTTCTTATTTCATATTGTCAATAGCCTCCCCAAGTTCATTCTCTTTTCTCCCTGAACTGTCTTGCCTATTGCTACCAAGCTAACCCTAAAGTACTTTTGTCTTATCACTTTCTCTTTCAAATGTTTACACCTGTTCCCTTTTATCTAGTCTGAAGGTCAAACTCCAATGCCTAATTCTCAAGGCCCAACATTGTTGGGCTTCACCTCACCCACTCAAACTTAGTGTTCACATTTTTTCTACTCTATCTGACTCAACTCCTTCTCACCTTTGCTCCTGTAACTCTCCTTGCCTAGAATGTTCTACCAGTACACCACTTTACTTTCAAAATCTTACATATTCTTTAATACCCAGTTCAAATAGCAATCTACCTAAACCCTCACCAGACTAATCCAGCTGGTTGATAGCTACTAGTCAAGAGCCTACTAAGCTCCAGGCACAAGATAAGTCCTTTATAGTCCCACCAGTACTGCTACAGTTAAGCATCACTGACTTTGGCTTTCATGTGAGTAGACTATGGCTCATAGACATGAAATCCAGCAGAAAATACAACCAAAATTTGATCCCATATCTGACTCCAAAATCTAGTTCTTATAGTTCTGCAAGGTTGCCCTAATAATGAAATCCTTTCAATATTTACCACTATCTGTATTATAAGCTATGATATGTCTTACTATTCAGGGCCTACAATAGGCAGTCAATAAATATTTAATAATTTGGTTACCTATCTTACAAACTTTTCATGTTACATTGATTTTATATAAGGATGCATTGTATATGACATTTACATAAAAAATCATATTTTAATAGATTTCATTATATAACAAAAATTTTTACTTTATTCAAAACTATTAGATATCAAGGTTGTTTTCTTTTCTAATTCCAAGACTAAGATTTCTTGGATTTTTATTCCAGGACTGACATTTTCACAGATATAATTTTTGAATTAACCAGAAAACAATTTAGTACATAAACTCAGATTTGCCACCATTAATAACACTTCTGCTTATGGCATTTAGAATGTTCCTTTTTGAGGAAAGGGCCACAGCTGAATGCATGAAGACAGTTCAAATGTTGCTGAGATATCAAACGTCTGCTAAGCACAGTTAAGGAAGAACTGAACTCTTCAATC